TATTTTGGGGGGGGGGGGGGGGAGGAGAAAAAAAGAACAAATTAAAATTGTTCGACGAGATTGAGAGAAAGAATGGAGAAGCGAATTTGAATTGAAAAGATTTACAAGAAATTTTGAATAATCTAAATAATAATCAATTTTATTGTTTAAAAATAAAGAATGAAAAAAGATACTCGCACGATGTGCTCAATGTAAAAGTCAGCTACGTCTTACGTGACTGGATTTTGTGATTAAAAAAAATGTTCTAAATTTTGGGAATAAAAAATGTGTAGATTTTGTTTTTCTGAGTGACGAAAGATCAAACGTTGTTGCGCTAGATTTTTAGATTGTTATCTCACTTTTATTTTGACTCTTTCTTCACGATTGTTCCTCTTTCCTCTATCCGCTACTTTCTGCCTCTTTTCTTTCTTCCTTTTGTTTTCTCGGTCATTCGTTGCTTTTTTCCTGCTTTTTCCACAGCAAAGTGGAAACTCATGTAGTTATCATTGCATCGACAAGGGACTGGCTCTCTTAAACTTTCCACGGCTCTGAAAGTTGAAAGCTTACGTGTTCAGAGATTCGATTTCGAAGCTTAGAAAATTTTCTTTTACCTTTGGGGATGAAATTATTGGAAAACATTTTTTTTTTTCGAAAATTTCATGTACTTGAAGAAAGTGCGCGTGTATGTTATTCGGATCTTTCAAAATTTATTAATTTATTTAACGATACGTTCGACTAAATTTTCTAAATCGAAAATGAAACTTCACTGCGAAAAAAATTCTAAGGAATAATTTGACGCAATGTAAAAAAAATGATTGATAACCGATCGATTATTCAATGAACCATCTAATCTTAAGCACTCCTCGGACAAGGTACCAAAAGGGGGCTTCTACCTTTTCTTTCCCCTCGTGCATTCATAAAATCAAAGAAATCTCTCATAATGGTAACAGCCAGTATACCTATATCTAAGCACTACTAAAACTTCAGTGAAATATTTAATTCACCTTTTGTCGCTACGTGAAGTGAACGTTAACGAGCCGGAAGCGAAGCTTAACGAAGCGAAAATTCGATTGGAAAAAAAAACGGGTCTGTTTTTCGGGCAAAAAATATGTCCACCCTTCCCAAGAGACAGTAATAAAAATTTATTCTATAGCGTATGGTAAAATTAAAAGACACTTTCGATTTGATAAAAAAAAAGGATAAACCTAACCTAACAATAAAAGTAGAAATTTTTAAGGAAAAGCTCGAAAATTTTTTAAAAATAATTATAACAATTTCAAAAATGCAATGTCACGTGGTTTTTCCTGGTCGTCGAAAAAAAATTTATAGAAAAAAAAAACAATGTTTTCATGACTTTATGAAATATGGCAAAAGCCGAATTTCGTTCCGCGAAGGGGTAAACGCTACCCTCCATACAAGGATGTAACCGACTAAGTTTGTCCTGGCTTCGTCCTGGCTCTGCTCTCCCGTATTGATCGACCAGGTGTATGCATACAGTTTCCTATGACACCCACTGCCGCCTCTTCCGGGGCAACCTTCTATTTTCCCGGGCAGCCGTCCCGTTTCTTCCCGGAAAAGCTAACAGCTCGAAATTGATGGGATTTTACTGTCCCTACGAATTTGAATTCGTTACGCAGAGCAAATATATGAAAAAACGAAAAATTTTAAAAATAAAAAAATTAACCCGGACCTAAATGGACATATAAATTACTCTTGAGAATAATTTTGTATTTTTTTTTTCCAGGAGAGAACGGACCGGGTGAAATTAACATATATTTTTTCCGTTGCCAATATGGATATTTAAATTTTTATTTTAAATAAGGGTTGAAGAGGGATAAAGTTTTTTTTTGCAAATTTATTGAAGCTTGTTCAATGCAGACAAAACCCTAGAGGAATTTTTAAGTACGATATAGGGTAGATTAAGTAAAAAAAAAAGGCAAAGGAGAAAGGTAAGATGAAGGGGGTAGGTGGTGGGGATAAAAAAAAAGTGTAAAAGACCAAATTGAACGTCTGCAATTCCATTCGCTGTACGGATTTCCTTTACCGGACTTGATTGCAACGGGCGTCTCTTCAATTCCGAGCACGCGTAACCCTGATGCAATTACCTGGTAATTAGTTTACATAAAATTACGTGAACGGGTGGAGTCGCGGGGGGGGGTTGTAGTCGAGAGGACGATTCCAACATGTCAGCATGTTGAACGCGTTTGCAGGGTGTTTGCTTGTCAGGTTATAGCGGTACGGCGTCGGGACGTCAGGTTGATTATTCCGAAAGGCGTCTATTTCCAAACGAGGAAATTGTCTCTCTTGGGGCGGTTATTATTGCGCAATTCCATGAGATACTTGGATACGTGACGGCAAGGTATACCGACAGGGGTTGGAAAATGAAAATTTAATTTTCAACAAATTTTACTGGGATTTTGAATTCGTCCGATGTAGACAAAATTTGCCCTGCCTCTGGTTACTCGTAATTCAACGTTCATCCCTTTAAGCAAAATTTCTTTTAGTTCGCAAATAATTCCGGGAATATTGACAATTGCGTATTCTGGGGCTTTCGAATTATGGTATTTTGTTAATGTCATTAGCGATCATATTTTGTTAACGTGATTTATGAACACAATGATTATTTTGATTGATATTAAACAATTTTGAAAATTTATGTATCCAAAGAAATCTACTCGCGAAATCGCTGTAGGGTAGCCAAAGATTGGAATTTTTGAAAAATTTTTCTTTGCCTGACTGAAAGTGCATCGGGAAAAGTGCATGCATCGTTGCAAATAAAAGAAAAAATAAATAAATAAAACCGAGAAGGGTGGAAAAAAGTTGGTGAGTCGTACACAAAGGGTCAACTCATATGTATGCTGGAGTACGTAGTTTTTTTATTTTTCCTTTTTTTTTCGGCACGAGGGTCATTTTATCCTGAAAATAGAGGACGCTAACAGGAGGGGTTGGGATGTTTGGATGGGTTTTTTTTAGAGAGCGATGCATTTCCGGCGGAAGCAGGTAAACTTTGAGTGCAGCTGCGCGTTCCGAAAACTTGAAAAAGCTCATAGAAATTTCCGATTTTTTTTCTGGATCGACATGTAATACGTAACGATGATACCGGGTGGTTGAAAAAACGAAGTTTGAAATTTTAATACTTTACAAAGATTTATAAATCCATTGGCAGTTATAATAATCAATCAATAACCCCGGTCACGTTGCTATCACTGATAACGAGATATTATAATTATATTACTTATAAATTTCAAACGAGTAATTCAAAAGTTCCCGGTCGATAATTTCAAAATATGCATCAAGTGCCGCGCGTCGCTTCAGAGATGGAGCTGCGATCGAGCTTAATAGTTAACGAGAAATCGAAGATCGGGATAATCGTCCCATTTGCACCTTCTGCTACTACTGTCACTCGCCATAGCACCCTTGATTTATCCCAAAAACCCACGTCACTTGCTTACCAAAGAAAAGGATCAAGTAAAGGGTGTTCAGAAAGTAATTTAAGATATAATATGCTAAGATATAATCGCACGCCATACCATCCTTGATTCATGCCGAAGACCCACGTCATTCGCTTACCAAAGAAAACGAGCAAGTAACGGGTGTTCGGAAACTAATTGAAGATATAATATGAAAAATATCACAAATAAATAACCTAAAACCTTTTTCCTCTAACTCACGAATTTCTAAGCAGGGAATAACCGTGGTTTTTTTTTCGTAAGTAGTGACGAAGGTGCGACGTTATTGTCAATAGCGTAAAAGCGTGAGCTCCATCGAGTCAATGTAATTTTATTCGCACCTTTGTTTCTCCACTTTCGTAAAACAGCCAATCGGACTATTCAAAGCCTCTACCGATGTTCTGTATAGTCTGTTCCAATACGTGAGACACGGACAGAAAGCTCATTGATGAGCTTGGACGTTTTCCTGGTTCCTCCAGACGAGTAGGAGTGAGACGGAGTGAGAGGAAAAGGCCGTTCAGACTCCATTCAGAGGGAAGAAACGATTGCGAGAGTGAGTGAAAGAGAGAGAGAGAGAGAGAGAGAGAGAGAGAGAGAGAGAACAAGTGTGATTGGGAATGAGGCGAGCGGTTGGAAGGAAAGTAGAAAAGAGAATGCTTTGGCACGAACAAACATATTGTGCTCCCTCGGGATTGGAAAATAAAGAAAATCCTGGAAGTTTCGTTCCGTTTACTAGAACTTAGTCTACTCGTTCAGTATCTCATTCATAGTCTCTCTCTCTGGATTTCCGTCATTCTATCTCTCCCTCTCTCTCGTACAAATTTTCATCGATTCCTCTTCCTACCAATGGTACCCTCTCTTAAATATTTACACGTACCCCTTGTATACTCCAGGCATATCTGTTCCTCTGTTTCTCAGGAAACAGGAAACAAACGCGGTCCACTTTGATGATCTCCTGGGATAAACTTAATGAATTGGCTGAACAATGTTTTTTTTTCTTCCTCAGTCTCCCAACTGGCTTCCACTTTCTTGTGTATCTTTTCAATTCTTCAGATCAAACCAGACAAGCAATTCCATCGTGCTGTCTCAGGCGTGGACTTTGCAGATGCTGAAGATTTGATGAATTTTCTTATTTACCTGTTTAATAAATATTTCCCATTAGTAAAAATTTATAATTTTTATTGAACATTTAATTTCTAATACACACAGTATTTTTAATCTTCTCCTTGTACCTTTTTCATTACAGAAGCAATATGGCGCACGGATCTCGACTGGGTCGTTATTCATCGTGACAGACTGGTGGTATTGAGCTTTATGAATCCGCCGGGAAATCTGAGCGGAATTACTGGATTTATAACGCCACAGCCTTACGTCACTGCACCGCCTTATGAACTCGAAACCGAAGCTATTTTATCGTCGACCACCGACTTAACGGATTTTCACCAGGAGTCTATCAGCACCGACAGCACCGAAAGCTTCATCAAGAAATTGACCAGTGCAGCCAACGTTTACAATCCTGTGACGAAATCTGCAGTGCTGCCGCCGTCCATTATTAAAACTGCAGAATTGACAACACCCAGTACAACTTCCACGACGGGATCGACCTCGACCGTGACCCCAGCACCGTCTACGACTGCGTACACCTCCACGAGGATCATTGCAACCCCTGGTATCAGTCTCAAGTCTACTGAGAAACCTAGCACTAGCCCCAGTGCGACATCTACAAAAAGCTCAAGAACTACCATTTTTGGTCAGAAACGAACCACGGCCAAGGTCATCCCCAAGAATGGTACTGCCAAGGGGAAGGCCAAGAAGAATACCTTGAAGCCTACCGCACTTAAGCTCACTCAGGTTCATAGGAGCAATCTGACCGCGCAGAGTTTACCTAGTCTGAGCAGCTTGGCAGATCTGGATAATCCTGAGAACATAAATCTGGAGTTTCACTCAGGTGAGATTGTCTGTTGCGTTGTTATGAAACTAGAGGACCTGTAGTTATAATGCAATTTTGTCAAACGTTAATTTTTGAAAATATATGTTTCAGGCGAATCTTATGGACCCATCACACTGGAGTACCTGAACTACGCCATTGCATTGGGTGTCTACTCTGTAAGATATCCAGCGGTTTTTTGGTCCTGCAATAAAGCACTAGGCACCATTTTCAGCTTGCAACTCGTCGCAAATTCCGCACAGAGCTTGTTGGCTTATGCAGGAATGTCGGTACTCTACAAGGTATGAGAAAGACAAAGAATGAAAACAGAATATTTTCACACTGTAAAACTGTCTGCGAATGATTTAACGAATGTGATTAAATTTTTTTTATTTTTAATCTTGCAGGTTCAGGTTGTCGGATTACTAAAGGTACTTCCGCATCTGCGTCATCGTACAGTCTCAACTGCCAGTACAATTTCGACATTCCTAGGAGATTCGTACTTCCTGTTAAATCCGCACGTCACGCTGGCGCTGTTCGCACTTTCATCCCTTTTGGTCCTTTGTTCCAGTATGGTCATGTACCTGTATGCTCATGGAAGGTCTGAAAAATTTCTGTATACGTTAAACTTGGTTGTTTTGGAACAACAAATAATTATACACTTTATAAACAGGTTTGTTGCGTTCCTGAATCAAGAACGCGAACGCAGAGTGATTTTGGCTAAGGATGGTCGCGACGGAAGTGGCTGGGGTTACTTCACCCACTGCGCAGCGCTCTGCGTCTTTCTGGCGATTGCGATATGCAGCGCTCCACTTTTATACGACTATACCGTGATCTACAGAGGAAGTCTAGATGGCGCAATTCTCGCCTGTATCATCGGGACCGTTCTTCATCTTTTTCTCTGGCTTGTTTTGTGGGTCTTCCTTATGGTCAAGCAGAAATGGATCTTCAAACTTCGTGTAACCATTGGACGCGCCACTGTTAGATCAGCAAGATCAGTCAAACTGGTGACAGACGTCGATTTGTTATCGGCCAGAGACGACGAGGAGGGTACCAACGCACCCTTACTGGTTGTCGGTAATGGTAGAACTTACACTATTGCCGACACCTCTCCGAAGAAGGCTATCATGAGTGTTATCCAAAAAGCAGCCATGGAGAGAAAAGCTCGAGCGCAAGGTAATGACCGTAGGGGAGGAACTTGACTCTTCGAACAGGTCGATTTTAAGTCAGGTCAGGTTATTCTAGTTTATTTGAAATTTATAATTTATTTTTATTTCATTCATTTTAGGTGCTAACGTCGATTGCGTAGACGGCGAGTCAACGGCTGACGGGGATGAACAGATCTACTGGCTGAGGCCCAAGTTACGTCCGAGTCCGGCCCAATCGCCAAGCGAAGGTTCAGGCCCACCAGTTGGAGACAAAAGTTGGCTCAATAAGAAACTTAAGCCAAAAGTCACCTTTAACGACCTGCCTAGTACGTCAGGCTCGCGGTAACTACCCACCTACTCCCTCTTGGTGTCTTTTGTGTCTGTCTGTTTGTCGCTTTGTTTTTTTTTTGGTTTTTATTATTTTTTTAATTCTGTTTTGGGGCCCTTAAGAAAATTTTCTTTTTTTTCACATAACTGCTTTTGACTTGCCCCGTCCTCTTTCCTCGGCTCGTTACTATATCTCACATCGTACTTCTGTGGCTGACTGAATGCAGTATTACTCTACGTGAACATATAGGAATCTGCTGAAGATTAAGTTTTACATGGATATTCTCTTATTATCCGTCCATGACTCTGTAGGTATTTATAATTCGCTTGAAATTAAAGATAGAAATCTTTGAGAAGCGTTCTCAAATGATATTGCGAACATAGAGTGTAAAGATAGTTCGAAGAAATGGAAGCGTCGAAACTCTTTTCCAAGTAACATTATAGAATTTTAAGAAACGAAAATGCGCGCTTTAAATTTGTTATAAAGTTTTTGTATTTTATACGTATTAACATCGTGTAAGCCTGGTTTGGCCATTGGCCATTATTATTAATTATTTTTTTGTAATTATTCGATAATTGTATTTATTCGCATGTTAGTCTATACGTTGTGTTTTGTTGACGATTCCTTCTTCTTTTTTTCCTTATTTTCAAAATTGATTGAGTGGAAGGAAAAAAAAAGAAAATAAAGTTACTGAACCAAGTAACCGAGATTTTTTGCAATCTCTACAGAATTCCTGACTCCAGGAATTTTTGGGTTCTAGTCGAGCTCGTTACGAGCTGATATTATACATTTTCATTCCCTCCGTGTGTTTTATTATATATTTTTTTTCTTCATCTCAGTTTGCGTAATTTTGAAAGTAAGTTCAGCGACTCGTAGAATTGTTTAGATAAATCGTAACCGTATGCACGAATCATATTGTTAGCACAAGATAAGTTTTAAAAGAGGAAGAAAGTAATTTATAGTCTGTATTGTTTTGTAAGAGATCCTTTGTGTTAATTAAGTTGAACCACAAGAGAAAGCGAAGGAAAATATACACAATTCATACTTCATATAACCTAAAAGTCTACTAACTCTGTCACCGACACAGAAAACAATTCCCATGCTTAATTAAAAAATACTTGATCGATTAAAAAATTCAGTGCATTGGTTATCATCTGCCTACGCTGTACTTTCACAGTGATTTTAATGATTCGTCAACATGTGTCAAAATGCACTGAGTTAGTTTTTCATCTAATGCAACTCTGCACCGAATGATCATTAATATTGACACACTAATTAATCACGTTTGGCTAATACTTTCAATAATGTAGTTAGCTTTCCAAAAAAAAAAAGTTTATGACAAGTATATATCCTACATGACAATTAACTAACAGTATTTATACGTAATAAGCAAAGTGTGCCGTGTGAAATGTAATGTTCCTATTTTTTGGAAATTTGCAACAAAATAATAAGAGAGCAAATCGCTTCGCACGCCCAAGCTGCTGCAAAATTATCTTCACTGAATCCGCTTGTGATCGGTGAGACGTTTTTACCCTTTTTCAATATTTTTGTGACGGATCTAATAATGACGACTTTCCTCTTTAGCAATAAGGGAAAAGCCCGACGAGGCGTTGCCGATGGCGGGCCAGACGATGACGGCGATTACGCAACGTTACGGGAATTGCCGTTAATGACGTCACTCGATCCTGCCGACGATTCCACATCCGAGGAGAACAAGGTCAGTTTAAAAAAGTCACCTTAAAAAAAAGATCTTTCAAAATTGGAATTACATTTAGACCGACCTAAGTTTTTCAGTCCTTCCATTGTATTAGATTTCTATAAAATTTGGACAATTCTCAATGTTATTATGGAAATACAAGGGTCATTGTATGCCTGTTGCAATGGACCAAAGTTTCTATAAGGGAATTTCTTTTTCTGGTGATCGGACGGCGATGGTTTCGTTTGCTTGTGAATTTTTTGTGATCATTTTTTATTTGCTTATCATTTCATTTAACTTTCATTAAAGTTTTATTGTCGAATTAACCCTGTACTCTCAAAACTGTGCGTTATATGTGCGATAATTCTACATTAGAGATTCACCGTGTAAAAAGAGAATGAATTGATTTTGTAACACAGATTTGACATGGCACTTTATACCTTTGGTTTTAAAGGGGTAAATAATTATAATTATTAAACTGATAAAAGCCAAGAAAATGTTTTTCGAATTTATTTCTTATCTCTTGTCTGTGGAACTTGTCTGGAGACAAGCACAAAGCAAAATTTATGCACTTGACGATTCAACTATTCTATGTAGATAAAAAGTTTGAAAAAGTATTTTAGTTTCATTCTTATTTATGGTTTTTATTTTTCCGACAGTGGGGAAGATGGCTGGTAGCCCGTAGGGATGCTATACCAAAATTTGCGGATGTAAGAGAAATACAAAATTTATTCAAACTTCTCAAACTAACTAGACTAACAAAGTCTGCTGTGTTTGGTGTTTGTATTAACTGTGTATTTAACCATTTTTTATGGTAGTTGCGTCGATTAGTCGGTCACGTGTCTTAAAATTTTTCCAAAGTTTCATAATTTTCGCACAAAAGAAATTAGTTGACCCGTAAGTAGAATTAGAGATTTGACTATGTAAACTGATATTAGGAAAAGCATTTCTTTTCACCAAAACTTTTTTAACTGAACAAAACTAGTTGAATAAAATAGACAGAGTGTGTATGGTAGAACGAAATCTTTCTAAAAGTTGTGGACAAAATTAAAGAAAATAAAAAAATATTGGTTTAAAATATCATAGACATAGAGTAGTTGGTACTTAGTACCTCAGGAAGTGTCAGTACGATTATTTCTACAATCTCAAAATACTTAACCAACAAGCCCAAAGTATTCCATTTTATTAAAAAAAAAAAAAAAATTAATACTTCCCTCTCCAATATCCTTCCATTGCACATAATTCCACAAAAAAATGGTAACAAATACTAATCTCACTAACTTCTCCAACAGTTGCTGGAGTGCGTGAACGATGACCAAGTGACATATTACGCAAGTGCAAATCGCGACCTTCAACCATCGGAAGGCGATCCGTCACCCCTTCTGACTCCTGAACCATTACCGGATCCACCCCCAGTTCCACTTCCTCTTCCACCACCGACGCCAACTTGTGCCTCAAGTAGTGACGTCATCACAGCACCCCTAACTACTAATACTCAGGTACTAACTGCTTCTTTTTCATATTTCTAACAAAATATAATAATTATTGCCACAGGATGATCAAGAAATGTAAACGAGAGCATAATAATAATAACGCCTCACATAAATAACGCGACAATAAAAAATGAAAATTTTCAGATAAATGGCGGTCAAACGCCTCGCTGTCTTCGTCGTGCAGATTCAGGAATGCCCCACGAAGAACTGACGCCACGGTCGGACTCCTCTAATTCACCTCCATTGGATGGCGGCTCATCAGCACCAAGTAATACAAGTAGCCACAGTGAGACATCTAGCGGCGTTCACTCGAACGCGAGTAACGCAAGCAACACAAGCAACGTCAGTACGACGTCACAGCAGCGTAGAGCAACCAGCGTGGACGATTTGACCGGAGAGCCAAGGGAGGAGCCACAGTGGCGTAGTTGCTCGTTACAAAGAGGGATGCAACCACCGACAAACGGAAAGGCAACATTTTCACCCCCAAATTCTCGTCCCGGTACGAGCCAATCGTCGTTCTCGCCGCAGTACGCGAATCACGTACCTCTGTTGAACGGCGTGGATCACGGTGGCGGCGCTGCAGTCGTCGGGGGAGTCCCCGCTGTCATTCTGGAGAATCCAAACGAGGCGACTGTCGTGATTCGTCGAAAATTATCAAGGCCGAAGATAACCGAACCCCTAAATCCGAACGAGGAGCCCTTCGGCAGGTCTACCAACATGAGAATGACGTCATTCACGGAAAACAGCGACCTCAGAACCATTCAAGCTTCCTCCGCAACGCTTCCTCATTACCCAACTCAGCCTGTTGTTACGTATCCTCACTGCTCCACCATGCCGCTGCCTCACGCCTCGCACAGTATGGCTGGTTCCAATATAGCTGGTTCCACTGGTAGCTGCGGTTCCGTTCCTAGAACGGTTCCTATCGCGCATACTACTGTTCCTGCTCATACCACGCTACCTTCCCATCACAATGGCGTAAGGTTGCTACACGGTGGTCCCAACCCGTTTGTTAAGAGGTTCCCACCGGTACAGGTGCACACACAGTCCTGGGGAATACCCGGACATCATACTTTCCCTCAAGCACCACAGAACAAACTCTCTGCGCCTGCGCAGATCAGACAGAGCGACAGGGACTCTGCTAATTTTTCTATGGCCAGCAGTGGCGATTCCGATACGTGTTTACCCCATTAGATTATAAAACTTATGGGTATGGTTTAGCCAATGAATACAAGTTAGACGGAGTGATATGGCGCTCTGAATTTTTCTATGGCTTATTCCGTTAGGTAGTTAAAAGAGATGAAAAAGGGTTGCCCCATTGATCGAGTCAGGTCGATAGAAAAATTGTGGATACATATTTCTCTCTATGTCAGAGAGGTTGACTGTGCGATTTTTTTTTTCCTGAACTACTTCTAGTCCGACTTTCTCCCGTGGACAATAATTTCTTATTTTTATTCGGTGCGAATGATTGTAAACGATACGGTGGGTGCTTTTTTCAATTTTTTAGAATGTCTGATTAAAGGTTTCAAGTGTGCCTCTCATTGCTTCGGGACTCAGGTATTAGACTGTTCAGGATGACAAGAATTAATAATGTTAAAATAGATGAACGGAGTAACGATTAAAACTAAAGGTGTCGCACAATTACAAAGATGGCACGTGGTGCGCCGTGAGCGTAGACTAAACTTTTCTACACGATTTTTGCAAGAATTAGATTAGCCAAGAGAGCCGAACTTCTTGCTGGACACATAATTTACATATCGCACGATGCAACAACATATCCCTGTATTTTCGATTCACCTTTATATTTAAATGACCAGTAGCTCAATGGGCTTATTCGTGGGAATTATTCCCATCGCCTACGATTAATCTTAACGTTTATTCCTTTTTCTATAAGCTAGCGAGATGCGATTGTTTGTCCACGGGAAAAAATATTGTTCTGAATGATATACACTGTAAATGTCACTGACATCTTTCAAATACAAGTAGTCACGTGAATGAAGAGTCAGAGACAAAAAAAATTAAAAATTCATGCTTTCTGATAGATTTTTTTTTCTACTTGTAGATCAACGATAGACTCTTTGGATCGATCAAATTGGTTCGATAGTAACCCTAACGAGACATAATAAATTGTACGAAGCGAAAACCACCATTGATACCCTGAGAGAGTAATCTTGAAAAATTCTTAAGGGGATGTTCTTGTTAAAGAAAAAAAAAAGAAAGTTGTTTTCATAGTACGAATATGAAAGAGATGTAAGAAGAGAAAAAGAGAAATAAGAAAAATAACAAAAAAAAAACGTAGACAAAATAGTATTACATAAAAATACGCTAAGGTTAGCAAAAAAACAATTTCAAAGAAAAGCTTTTCACTTTTCGTTACGTCGCTGTACTATTTTGCGAGCAGAACGAATCTCTGTCGATTTACAATTGTTTTCTTAGTTATCTTTTGTGTATAGTTCACTCACTGTAAATCTGTCCCTGTACATTATTTTTGCATCGATTACGTCTTGGGGCTCATTCGGACCAAAAGGCGGAGGGTAGCGTCAAATAGGGAAGAAGTTTTTGGATCTGACGACGTAGCAGTTCAATGCTCTTTGCCCATTGGTCACTGCCTGCTGATCACTGCCAGCTACCTTTGGTGTGAATGAACCATTATGGTTGTCCTTTCTTGTGAAAGATTGAACGAATCTTGATAATTCTTTATCGGCGCTCTTTATTGTGGCGGCACTGTTAACGCTAATTATTACTAAACTCGTGAAGGGTGAATGGGAAAAAAAATCTATTTAACCCTTTAGGAACGTATGCGTGTACTCAAATTTTTAACGTAAGAAAAAAAAAGAATTACGGTGATATAAGGGGGAAAAAAACGAACCGAAGATATATGGATTACTGCCACTATCCTTAAAACACAAAATATGTTTTGTGACGTGATTTTTCGACTCACGGTCCCAAGGCGGCTCCGGTTACCGATACAGATAACGTTCTCGATTTCTGGTTCCCTTCGGGTCGCCACCCTACTCAGAAGCTACGCTCTCAGGTTGATTCGTATAGTTACGCCAATGCTCTCGTAAGATTTCGTTATTGTTTAGTTGAGGTCGAGGTGCTCGAATCTGTCGTGAAGAGATAGTCTCGACGTACCGAGTTGCCCGGCAGAGGAGAGTACCCGACGGAGACGTCTCCACGGATCGGCAGAAGCCCGGGTGAGATACCGACGCCCCGCTGGAGATGAGCAAAGGGCTGTAGAGAAGGCGGAATTATAGTTTTGATACGGTTAAGGGCAGGGGAGGAACCCCTGAGCCGAGTTAAGGATGCGGTGCCCAGCTGTCGCCCGATGACCTGGGGAAGCGGCCGTGGAGGATCTCCAGAAGTTACGTACCGATCCGCTAAGGAACACTCTCGATTTGGTTTAAAGGGACGACTCGAGGTAGATGGAAGAGTTATCGGCTATAAGGATCTCGACCAATCAGATGATCAGAATGATTAGTTCTCGAATTTGGCATTTGGCTATTGTCAAAGCAGTCTGTCTCGGGGCACCGACCGAGGTGTCACGAGCTGCCTCGCGCTTCCGTGCTATCTGTTTATAGTTTTTCTAGCCGTGTTTCGATATAGTGTAGCAAGTTCTCGCTCGTGTAGTTCTCGCGTTGCTCTCGCGATATCCAGGAAATTCTGTGGATTTTCTGTGAGTGTTCCGGAAGTGCAGTGCTGTGCCCTAGTGCAGGGTCCACGTGAGTCTCCTCTGGATACATTTCTCGGCCTTCAGGGATTAGCTGTACCAGCTCCGGTGAGCACCCCCAATTTATTAATTGGTAAAGGGGTTTCGAATTGATACGTCCGATTCGTTCTGTTACATTCTCGATCCGTTGCTCTCTCTCTCTCGCACTATTTGCCTGACGATTATTCCGACCCTCTCTAACTCAACCTAGCAGCCTGAGCGGCCGTGCATTTCCACAATCGTCCACTCCCGTTCGTGCATCCAGTTGCGTTTGCTGATTTTACGCGACCCCAAAAATCTACAAGATCCGTTAAGTTATCGCATTAACTGATAGGTTCCGTCAGAGCTTTCGTTCTGGTGGAGTAGCGAAGGGTGGACGACCGAAGGTAACGTAGGTTGGTTCTAGAAGATAGTTCCTTCTCAAATTTTTCGTTATCTGTATCGGTATCGGTGTGGAGATACGCTACAGTAATTAATTCCATATAGAGAAAATATTCCTTAAATACCTTTTTTTTTATTCTCTCTCTAATTTCCCTAAAATATTTTATATCCTAAAATATTTTCTCCGGCCGTGGCCAGTCTTGCATTTATTTTCAAGAATTTTGAAAAATCTCACCAGACACTGTATGTGCATCTATAATTAATTTCTCCTATCATCTTTCTCTCCTAATTATTTTTTTTCAATTTATTTTCGCGCGAAGAAGACAAAGAAAAGAAGCAATCCCCCATACAGATCTATACTCGCAATATAACGCACTTGACGGATTAAGAAGGAAAAGCTGAAATTAAAAATAAAATCATAAGTATTAATTTTTCATGACAAAAAAAATGTCATCACATTCAGCAGGTATAATAAAGATGGAACAATAATGCGAGCGGCTAGCGGATATAGAAAAAAATTCTTCGTAGTATTAGGTAATAATTATACTTTGACTTAGTTTGGCAAAAAAAAAATTGAAGAGAATAAATAGCAAAGAAATAATACGTAATTCTCGCTAAGCCAATCGTACATATCGCAACCCGCAAGGACCACGCTAAATCGAATTCTTCTCTAATAGTAACTTCAAAGGAAGAAGAGACTTTTCTGTATCGCTGAAGAATTTCTTAACTAATACCCGGTGTCCTTTTTCATATCGGGCCCATATTTTCACACGTACTATGGGCAGCGTCTAATGCTTATTAAACATGAAATTTCGCTCTAAAAAATACAATAACAATAACAATAATAAAAACGACAAATGAAGAAGCAAGAAATAATTAAAAATAATATTCATCTAGATTCAACTGATTAAAATGCGATTTTTATATAATCCATATTGTGTACTACGTCCACGTTCACTCTGTCTGCCATATATATATATATATTTTTCGTTTTCGATTCTCGTATCTCAAACAAGAACCCTGGCGAACGATTCGATCCACGAGATATCACTCGGTGCTTCTATCATGCGTATGCATATATCATTTCTCACGTGTAGGATTTCTGGTGTCACTTTAAAAAGAAAAAAAACGTATTCATCGACTCGTTCGCACAGGGAACATGGTTATAATAAGAAAACCTGTTTATTGTGAAAATATTTTTTTACCATTTAGTGAATGCGTGTGCGTGTGAGAAATGGTGGGAGAAATAGAATGTGAAAAAAAAAGTATGAAACTCTGATTAGAAACTGATGAAGACAGCTGATTAGAAATTTGAAAAGTAAACTTATGCGAATGGGATAACCCGAAAGGAGAGTAAAGGAACAAAAAAAAATGAAAAACTGGCAATGTATAAGGATGAGTAGTGTTCAAGGTAATCGGGTGCGAAAAGAACACCTCGATTACCGTGTGTTTGTGGTGTATGCTTTTTTTTTTATTTGTTCTTTGGGTTGATCCAATAATTTGTAATTTCAATAATGAGCTGGTCGGTCACAGGTCTCTTCGGGTTTGCGTGAGCAATGCGCAAGAGAAATAACGATGTAAAAGAATCTGTAGCGAGGGAAAAGGTAAAAAGAAATATAAGGAACGTGAAAAGAAATATCAAGTAGATTCAATCTCATGGGAGTAAAACGAACGGAAAGAAAGGAACGCGATATCTCGAAGCACTGTAAATAATAATACTTATAATAATTGAATCATGCGAAAGAAAAAATCGAATGTACGAATATTGTATAAAGACTGATTAGACTAGCCTTGGTATTTATTCAATAATATTAATATGACTCGTGGTGAATGTTCAATGAAAGAAAAATATCGGTAAATCGACAAAGCCAGGAATACTCTGAGCCAAGTGAAAGAAAAATTGTAGCGTTAAATAACTGTTGAAAAAAAAAAGATCACACTGATTTCGAAATTCCTTTCCCGTTAAATTTCTTTGGAATAGAATGTAAAATCAAATAAGCTCGTCTTTCGTTTTCGCGAATCACTGAACTACGCACTTGTTGATTGTCTCTGCTAAAAATTATTTTTCTTTGAAAATAATCACCACTCGTCAACGAGCATAAACCGAGCATAAATATAAGCGCAGTTATAAAAGCGGCACTATTATTGTCAGAACGTATAAATATTACTCAAACATCGTATAAGCCATTGAAACTAAATGTAAACTTTGTATATTCATTTACCAAGAAAATAAAAGTAAATTATTCGACGAATATCAGCGGTTATTAAATTCGCTATAGATTTTTCTTTTAATTTACAGACAAGAACGATATTTCAATTGAGCGTTGATCATCAAAGTCCATCCATTAGATTTCTTGCTCTCTTTAATTCTGAAAAACAAAAATGTAAAGACAAAGCTCAAGCATACCAAACGTTCTTTCTGTATTTTTTCATAAATGAATTTGCATACCTGCCAACAGAACAGGAACTTCCTCCTTAGAAATATTGAGGGTGACAGAATCCTCAATTCCATTAATTTTTTTAAGCTTTATACACAATTTTGAAAATGGCGATGTCGCCTGATCAGGAAGCAACTCCACCGAGGATAAGCTGTTAACTGAAAGAGAAAGAAATTTGAAAAATATACAGTTACACAATACTTACTGTACATAATAAAATATTAAAATACAAGGCACGACCCAATACCCACTCCTTAATGACTCAGCTGTTAATTTGGCAGTGATCTGTGCGGAATTGTCACTGTGTAGACGAGCGATGGCGGCACTGTGTTCCCTGGGAAGACCCAACTGTTGCAATTCACTACTCAGATCCGTTGAAGAGGCACCATATCGAGACGAAGATGTTAGGATCAACTCCAAAGCTGCTACTATCGCTTTGGCATCACTCAAGTCTGTTTTCAATTAGATTGATTAATTAGTAGAATTATTAGTAATTATTAATATGCAAGTTCGTGACCAGGGATTCACGTGGTAACGGAAAGCTATTTAAATTAAAATTGAAAAGTCCACGTACCCAATTTGGCATCCTGTGTAATCTTCTTTACTTTATCTTCCTGGAATAAATAGTAAGAGATGACGTTTAAGAAAAAAATTACTCAACCAAGAAATTTCTCTATCATTAAAAGATAATGAGAATTTTTGTATTCTAATAAAAAATTTATACAGACCACGTTTCCTGTTATACAATTTCATATTATCACTCTTTCATGTTATCATTATTTCACTTATCTTCAAAATAGACTCGACCTAGAACTATCAGTTAAGTTGTTATCAGTTGATTAATTTGTATCTATAATAAATATGATTCCAACCGAATGTCACAAATCTGCTTAATTTTCTAGTTTATCAACACGAATAGTCAGAGAATTTGGCTTATTCAGAAAGTTCGATCGGTAGGATTGTAATAGTGAAAGAGGAGTGGAGCAATTTAGAGAGAATTAATTAACTTATTGAATAGGCTAATGAACGAATTTTAATTACCGATTAGAATATGTTGTTCGGGTGCTTCTTTGTGAAAATATTTATTGCTATTTACTCAGTTTTGAAAAGTATTTCCTGGCTTAGGCTAATCGTATGGACGCTACCGTATATAATAAAAATTTGGTGTTGGACATCAAGAATAATTGCATTAATCGGTATTTATGTATTCCAGAAGATTGTGGTGGTTCAATTATACGTGATCAAGTTACTAGTGCATTATAGAATTTTATGTTGGAAAACAGTAATTTTTGTCATACTCGTTTGTTGGTTCGTTTTTACCATTCAAAATATTTCAGTAAGCTATTTTTCATTGTGTAGTATTTCTCTATATTAAAAGTATCTATAACTAGAGATCAATTGATCAAAACCCAATATTCAATTTCGAAAGTTCCTGGGAATAAGCTCAAATTTGAAAGGGTTTTAAAGGGTAAGTGACAATTATTAAAAATAAATAAGAATATCCAATATTCAAATTTCTATTAAAATTTCTGTTCTGCATTGTGACTAGTGCCAAAATAAGGCAAAATAAAATGAAGACAAGCATCACAGACTATAATGTAATCCTCTCTCTAGTTTCACTGAGCGGAACAAGATTTGATGAAGACGAAAATACTTTTCATCCCGGAATGGACTTCTGGAAGAAAAAGCAGACTAAAAGGTACATAGAGGCACAAGGTAAAAGATTTACAACTTTGTTTGGCACTCTTTGTCCGAGTCTTCCATTCCATTACGTCGGCTAATTCAATGAAGCTTCCTTTGGTTTGTAAATAATATCGAGTTATTTCCTGACAAGTAGACAAAGTCCCAACTGCTTAGAAGTCACTGGCCATTACGACTGATGTTGCTATTACCGGATGCTGTCAGAGAATCTTGCATCATTGATACAAAAGAAAGAAACGTAACAGTGCAATTTTTTAACATCAAATCTGACAAAAATATGTATGGAAGGTACTGGATCAAGTTTTAAAAACTGCACCAAACGCCCTGTGCATGCAAGAGAGTCAAAATAAAAAGACAGTATGTGTATAGATTCAGGGGGCAGGGAGATCTAGGGGTAACCAATGAAGAACTGATCTTGCAGCAAACTATTAATAAAAAACATTGTTGAGTGAACATATCGATTAATGAAAAATAATTATTTTTGTTACTCACATCAAGCTCACCCTCGGTCAGAGACTTGGCCACTAGTTGTCCCAAAATTTTCATTTTTATGGAGGTCTGAAAAAATATGTCCATCAGTCAAGTATTATTTATGATTTATTATGCAATAGAAAAAAATTCGTTAAAAAATTTCCAATTTTACAATACAATTTTTGTGAATGGTATCGGATATCAAAAAAAGGAGTAGCTACCTTACCATACGAGAAAGAGTGTTGATCTCTGCCAAAAGCCAATCCGGACAGTCTCCATCGCCAAGGAATCGAAATTTCTGCAAAATTTAAAAAAAAGATTAATACATGGTGGATGTAAGACGCGTGGGAAGTTTGTTTTTGGAAAGTAGTCATATGGAATTGTACGTGTTAAGTATATACATATATGATAAATTTATTTTTAATAGTCAACAAACAATTGAAGTGAAATTGAATTGAATTGAAGTGAAAATCACTGGGTATAAATAAAAATAAAAATTACCATTTTTTCTTCGCAATCGCACGCGATGCTATTCTCGAGTATTTCTGAAACAAAATTAATACAACCACTTTTAGCCGTTTATGATTTTCAAAAAAAAAAAATACAAGAAGAAACTTATGAGCCGCTCATTGAATATCTAATTGTGCCAGAAAAATATGTTCCAGAAGACTGAAGACCGTAACAAAAGTCCCTAGAAAATGTTCGTTTGGCGCAACAGAGTGAAATAAATGAAAAGTAAACATGAATCTCGACATACAGTAACGTTAGAAAATATTCTAACGAATTTCTCGATTATCACGCGCAATTAACACGAAACTAAACGACCCTGTTTATGTTATCAAGTATGTCAAACGTGCCGAACGACCTGGAGGAAATCGTGCAAAAGCACTAATACGAGACGAGAGCCATTCTCAGCCCGTCATCGTCAGCGGAAGTAAATGGTCCGTTACAAAGTAGAAATTAAAAACTTGAGAATTTTGGAAATTCGACATTCACTCCGAGTAGAAGTAAACATTTTTTCTCCAATTAATTTTTCTTTTTGTAGGAATAAAAAAAGTCTATGAAATGTTACCGGTAACGGTTGGTGCAATTTTTTGCAATTTTTCTTGTACGTGAAAGGCGGTTATTAAATCTAAAAAAAAATTCGGAACGTTAATGATTTTGAGAAATGGAACGAAAAAAGCTGATGGTATCCTTGACCATGGGCGAATAAAAGGACTGTACGTGGATTTTATTTGTTTCGTCCAGAGCTAATAGAAATCTCAATGGGATTTTATTTACAATATACGTATGTATTGCTACGATGGTTTTCCTTTCTGTTTACACTCCTGGGCACGTGATTGACGTAAAGGCGCACCCCTATGGTGCACTTTATTCCCTGTTCAATTCCTCGATTTCTTGGACCGCGTCCTTTTTCCACCCTTGGGAAGACCAAGAAACGTCATAAATAGGATGGCGGTAGGTTAGACCATGGCATTCATTCGGCGACCACCTGAGGAATTGCTACAGAGCTACAGATCAAAAAGTGACGGTTCCAACAGGTACAAATATTTTTGCGCGAGTAATTTGAATTTTTTTTAATTAATTAATATCGTGATAATTTCTGTACGAATTTTCATTACAATTTTTTTTTAATATTCCAGAATGCGCCATCTACTCTTAGCCGCAGCCCTTCTATACAGCGTGATAGCAGAATTCGAGGTAAGCTGATTAGAACTTATCAATTAATAGATTTATAGATAGGATTATTATCTATTTGGTATATCTTCAGGGGGTGCTATAGTGAACCCCAAAATATTTATAGGGGAAATCGACCGTTTGCGTTACAAGTGAATGTTCTCACGAGGAATTTTCATGTAAATGCTTAACAATGAATTACCGCTAAATATTAGAAAAGTAGTTTTGAAGGTGGATGAAAAATTTTTTTTTATTACTCCAGGGTGAAAAATCGCATAGGACGTCGAACGTCGAGACGCAATCATGGCTGAAAAAATTTCTTCCTTGGAGGAATATAGATCATAATTTTTTACCATCAACCATCGTAATGAACAGGTGTTAAAAAAATTTCAAAAAATAATTCTCGAACTTTCCGATAATCGTTTTGAAAATGTTTTTTAAAATATAAATACCTTTTTTAAGGTCAGGAATCGATCCGACCGACCTTCCGGTGATCCAAATGAAAAATCTTCAGGATCTACGTAAGGTCACGAGATATCGATCATCGATAATGGAAGAACAACCGATCTTTATAATCATGTACGAATATCAGGAATTGATAGACGATCGATTAGAATCTGGCAGAATCCGTCGTGAAAATCATGGCTGGACCGTCCAGGAGCCATTTTATGTCAAGGAACCCAGCTGGATCGCGATAGATGAAAATGGAAAGGTGTTAGGAAAAGTGTCAGAGGATAATGATCCTTTCTTCGTGACACGTGGAAAAAAAATACTCAATATAAAAGAAAAGCAAAATACAAAAGGAACAAGGTATTATAATAACGTGCGGAATCAAAAATATTCTCGTGGGACGAATAACGAGGATACAAAAAAAAATGTTGAAACAGGATCAGGATATTGGAATCCTGAAATGTATTTTATAGCTAGAGAACTTAACGAGAATCAAAAATATCCTGAATTCTTAAAAAATGTATTAAAGGATTTAGAAAAATCATTGTACAAGAAAAATTGGAAAAATTTGAAGGACGACCTCATGCCCAAAAATTTAAACGAGAGATCATCGATCTCCTCTAAAATCTCCTTGACGAAAACTGACACCAAGGAGGAATATCCGAGAGGTCCTGCAGAACATTTACAGCACGAAGGTGTTATGAACATGTTGGAGAAAGAGAGACGAAAGAGAGACGTAAACTCAAAAAAGACGTTCAGGAACGATCAAAAGGATTTTTACGATGAAAAGAATAATTTTGAAAAACGAACTAATTATAAACTCAAAAATGAGGATTTGCGTGAGATTATAAAAAATGCCATTCTTGAGCAAGGATATCGTGTCAATTTCAAGGATCTGAGCCTCCTGCAGCCACGAAATAAACATTCGAATAACCTTGATATTTTTGACGAGCCATTTTTTATTTCGCGTGGGAAAAAAAAAATTCAAAATTATCCCGAACCCCGACAAAATATTCAGGATTTATCCGAGGACGCTGTAAGTGGCGAAGCGAGCGAAGAATTTGCCCAGAGTATATCGGCCTGTGAATATCTTTTAAAGATTTTTGGAAATTCCAAATTCTGTCAAGATCCACCGGATAAGAGATCAGAAGAAAAAACGCCGAGAAATCGTCGCGGGATGCTGGATGAAATTTTAACGAGTTACGATCCCTTTTACGTAGCTCGGGGTAAGAGAACCTCGTCACAAGTATCCGGAAACCCATGGGAAAGAGGAATTTTTGAAAAACTATAAAGAAGCACTGATACGGACACCGTCAAGTTTTTTGAAAACGGTAGAGCCAACTGATCAAACGCGAGTGATGATCTACTAAAGAAATTAATCGAGACTAGCTCGGCATATGGTAATTAGTATTACCAGTAATATAGTTGAGAAATAAGAAATAAATATATATACATATAAATAAACGTAAAAAATTGAAATTTTAGTTATAGAATGAAGAAAAAAGAAGCGAAAAAAAATAAACACTTTTCTCTTGGTCTCAAGAGAAAAAAAAATATTTTATTGTACTTATTGCTACGCAGTTTTACATCTTCCACGTTTGAAGATATCATTGTTACGTACGTCATCGAGATTAGAATAAGCCTTGAGAAATTTAAAAAAAAATTTATTCCCACGTACGACTCTACCAAATCCAGCACCCTGAGCTTAGCAAAATTTTATTTTTCACGGAATACTCGATTCAGACTTTCAAAAAAATTGTCTTACCACTTCCCACCTTGTATTCTCATCTTATACATTAAAAAAAAAACATTTTCCTATCTCGGATTCACCAAATGTCTATATTTCAGCTTAAAACTGAAATGAAATCCTATTGTCGAAATAACGATGGGATCGGGCAGAAGGTAGGATTATTATTTATATTAGCGATTCTACCGGAAAATTCATAACCGACATAAGAGACATCGCGAGACGTAGTAATACGAAAGAATAGAAAATTTATGCGAAAATGGAGAAGAATCAGAGATCGTCAAGGTCAGTTGCATTAGGCGTACGAATTATTGAGTGGAATTAACGCGCGTCATTATTTATCTCAAATTTTCCCAAAAAATCTTCCTACGATTTCGTTACATTTTTAATTAAGAGATTTGTAAATGTTTTTTTTCTTCTATCTATTCAAAGTCTGAATTTCGATGAGTATGAAACAAATTTTTTTTTCAACTAAAACCTTTAATAGCAAAAGCGGGGTAGAGGCGAAAAAAAAAGTAAAGAAAAATATCACAAAGAACAAGAAGTAGGGCTTCTACGCGGTACGTAAATATTTTGAAAATATTACCGTTGCCACTAGCTACGCATTCCAGTCTAAAAATTTACGATAATCTCAGATCACATCAGGCAGCACATTTTTAGGCTGAAGCTGCGCACATGCTACCCTGTGAAGTTTTATCCATAAGTTTTGTAGCGGGAAGACAAAATAAATTACGTGGTACAAGGATCCTTAGTCTTTGACGTAAATGATGTTTTTCGTATAAAAAAACCGTGTCGTGTGGAATTTAAAAAAAAAAATACCATAGACGGGTATGCTGCGTGAAAAATTTTTTTAGTACAAAATTATTTTGACAAACTGTGAACGGTCTTAGAATTTTTAAGGGAAATCAATCGATGTAATAAAAAACCAAAATAAAAAAAGGAATAACATATCGAGCAACAGTCTCAGTCTCAAACTAGTTGCATATGGAGGTGACAGGTGTGAATTTTGGAGTAGGGCGATTTGCGCGTGCGGGGGTGGTTTTTCCAAGCCAATAGGAAGTCGAGGCGGGAACCACGTGGGACGTATAAGATACCAGACGCGCAGCCCGGCTGCCCATTGCATCCCTTAACTCTGCCGAAGGACCGCAAGGACTTTCAGATTGACAAGGATACAAAATTGCGGAAGTTGTGAAGGATCGTCGTCCTGTAACGGGTGAGCAAAATCAGCTATCCAGGACGAAAGGATTTCATCCAGGAAGGATCGACTCTCCGGAGATAAAACTCTTGGAGCGTCCGTTGATAAGGTGAGAATTTTTGAAAATTTTCTATCAAATTTTTCTTTCGACAATAATCCATATTTAAGATATACATCATTTTTGAGTCGCTCGGCTGCGAAAATTATTTTGAAATTTTTTGTCTGATATATGAAAAAAAAAAATTGCATCCATCGTCAAAACGAATTTTGAAAAGCAACCACTTTTACGTGTAACAGCACTGAAAGCTTTCCATAATCAAATTCGAACGTGACTTGCCGACAGAATTGCACTTTGACCTTTTTTTTTTATCTACCACGAGAATGCACTTTTGTACACTGTTATCAATTCTCTTTTATCGAACGTTGAATCAATTGCTAAGTAATTAGAGTGCCTTCGTAAATGATTATCGAAAAGTTGTCTGTGGAGGAAAATAGAGGTGAAAACAAAAAATGAGAACGACACGAACGTTGAGGGTCCTGAAAGTTTGCGTCTAATCAAAGAATATAATGCTATAACACGATTAGAGTATACAGGGTGAGTCACTAAAAAAATTAACACCTCAAATAACTGGGACGTATGTAATCTTACGAAGTGAATGTTTAGGGTGAAAAAATTTCATTAAAAAAAACAACAGTATCGACTACCAACCCTTAAAAGGTGCCAATAAAAATTTTGTACTATTCAAGGTGACCAATCTAACAGACAATATTTTGATTGAAATATTTTTTCAAATATTAATTTTGATCGTTCTAAAAAAAATCAATTAAGTATACAGATAATGCACGGGACTATCTTTGTACAGTAAAAGTGAAAAATGTTCAAAAGATAAATACTAATTTACAATGAACCGCGAGGAAGGAAGAAAATAGTACAAAACATTTACCAAGCAAACGTGAAATGAAGTTTCTCTCATAATTAAAAAGAAAAAAAAAAAGATTCGGTATGATAATTAATACATAACGAGTACAATGGAGAAAAAAAAAAGACATTATTTATAATGGAAACGTGACAGATATAATAAGACAAAGGACCTCGTCTTTATTTTTATTTTTCCTTTATTATATTACTCTCAGATATTTAATTCCAAAGTGCCACTTTTCTCGTCAAAAGAAATATTTCTGTCGCGCCAGGAAAGTGTATACAGGGGTATGAAAAATATGACGAAACAATATACACTGATAGATCGAAATAGAAAAAAAAGACGAACGATCGACTAGCCGTGAAATTAAAGTGAAAAAAATATATATATAAAAGTATCATTTAAATTTACGTGTATTTTCGTGGAACGCCATAAGCATTACGTAACGAGGGGATAAAGCTTTTATACCGACAGAGTCCATTGTTCGTGCGCCCATTGAATTCACCAATCTACGAGCTCGGTGTTAAACTTGATGACATTGTTGTCAGGATTCAGTTAAGTATTCTTAATTTTTAATAGGTATGAAGTATTTGATAAAAAAATCGGTTCAGAGCATTGATCATGGATTTTGATAATTTCAAGTACTTTTTTTGTACCTTAATAACACTGCCTGAAGTCACTGCGAAAATAAAATTTGAAAAATTGTATTACGATAAATAAAAAATTATTGCAGTTTTCTTTGAGAGCATTTGTAATATTTATTTTTTATTTTCAACTTTTACAGACATGTTGTGGCTCTTTGGTATCTTTGCGATTCTTACGCCGACCACGTTTGCGAATTTGGAACTTGAGAATTTTGAGGGTCCTGTGGATCTTGATGATAGTGGCAGATATGTCAAATTTGGCAAAATGGACCACCCTCCATCCCTGTCGAACAGCATCAACGAAGACAATGCAGACGAACAAGATAATTCTGCAGCGAACGGAGGTAAAATATTTCAGTTCGTTTTATATTGCAAAAACATGTGCAAAAAAATGTGGGAAAGTTTTTTTGCAATATCAGAAAACGGTTAATGCTTTTTGCTTTTTTCTGATTGTCAAAAAATAATAGATGCAGGGTCAAAATCCAATATCGAATTGAACGATTGCAACTTGGCGTCACGTAAGAATCTTGTACTGTATTTTCCTGGGAAAACTAGAGAGATTTTGGTAAAATGTTTGACACCTGAAGAAACGAACTTGAAAGACAGATTGAGCGAAGCTGCGAATAAAAGACGTAAAAGATCCGTACAGTTTAGCGAGGATGAGAACAGGATTAATAATAAAAATAAGCGTAACAGTTCGCCAATGGCTACGTGGTTCCATTTCCACACGCAAGATAAGGTAAAGAGAATTTTGTAAAAATGAAATTTTTGTAATTATGTAACGTAAGTATACGTCACTGATCTGTCTACGCGAAATTCTTAGATGATACCGATTCAAGAGAGGCAGGATCCATTACAGGAAAAGAAGAGTCCAGCTTTCAACCCTTGGGGTGGAAAGAGAATGATGGTTCTTCGTGAGAATTTCAATGGTCAACGAGCGATGCGAATGCCGTTTAACAGTTGGGGTGGAAAAAGAAGCGACGAGAGTTTTGAAAAGTACAACGAAGAGAAAAGGGGTAGATTTTTCAATTGGGGAGGGAAACGTGTTCCATTCGACAGTTGGGGTGGGAAGAGAGCTAAGGCTACTGAGAGACAGAGAGTGCCATTTAACAGCTGGGGTGGAAAGCGAGTTTCCTTTCACAATTGGGGTGGAAAAAGGGGATGGATACTAGAAGAGGATGGGAAGGAAACTGGTAAAGATAGAAGACATATCTTTAATTCTTATTGTAGGTCATTGTAAATGAATTATAATTATATATAAATATTATAATAGCTGATACTGAACAGGTGGCTGATCTTCAACTTTAATCATTGAATGTGATTGGGGTTGATGTCAGGATACTTATAGTAATTTGTTTTTAAATTGTAATTTTCAGATAAACGAAGCAAAACTGACAGTTCGGATGAGTTAGATGTTAAGAGAACAAAGTTCCATGCTTGGGGTGGCAAAAGAAGTGATGATTTTTATAGTGGACTATCTAAACGAATTCCCGAAGAAGTAATAGATAAGAGAAGTCCTTTAGATTCATGGAGTGTGTACCTTGAGTAGAAAAATCACTTTTAAAGATATACTTTATTGAATAAATTGTATGGAGAACAATAAAACCTCTTAATGATCCCCTCATAATAGGTGAAAAACGTGACGTGATTGAAACTGGTGATGACATGGAAGCCAAGCATTTACCACAACAAAGTACTCCTGGTCGACGTATGATATTCGACAGCTGGGAGGAAAAGCCATACAGTAGTGATCCCATAGTTGATACACCAGAATCAACACATGGTGACTGGAAAAGCTTCTTGAGAAGATTTCAATCCTGGCAGGATAAACGAAGCGGAGGAACAATCAGCATGATGAACTCTGAAGCTAGTTTCATTCCAGAGTCCCTTGCTATTCGTAAAATCTTCTTTCCTTGGGGTGGTTAAGACATTCCAATTTGCATGAAGCTATCAGGTAACACGATTATGGCTACAAATCACATTGACTCCTTATAAGACATTGCAGGGATTAGTGCAAAACGATTCTAATCAGATTAAAATATTTCTTGGTAAAGATCAAAAAGATATAAAATATTAAATATGTAAACGATATGTCTGTAATCTAAAAATCAAATGTTCTAATACTGTATCATTAAAAGATAATATTTTCAGATGATGTTCATAGTTCTTTCCTCAAGTAATCATACAATTCTCTAAATTAGAAAATATCAATTAACCGACTATTATAATACCGATGATAGAAAATAAAATAAAGGTATCCCTATTGCATACTTTTGAATTATCTCACGCAATCATAATAATGAATCACATAACAGGTAATGAAATAAGGTGCAAATAATGTGATAGTTACAATTTGTAATTAATCAATACAGAACTCAATGACGTAAAATAAACTATTTTATGTGTACACTTTGTTTTAAATAATCTTTGCTTTTATACGCTACTTTAAAAAATATAAAACCAATTAATTATAGTATCAAAAATAGTACATAATAATTAATAAAACTCTGACTAACAATACATATCCACAAAAACACCAAAACAGGTTAAACGTCAAACTTTCTATAACCAGAACTTTATGAAAGTGAAACAAATATTCCCAAAGTATGACTACTTAATGAATTCTAGAAAATATACACAGTATTTATGATAATATGACTTACAGCGTGTAATTCGCCTATAATCAAAGAATTTTGCTGTATAATATTTTCTTGACAAACCAAAAATCAAACCAAAATGCACCATGGAGTCAGAGATGATTAGGAGATGCACAACGCTATGTTTTTAGGCGATACCATAATCATGACACTTAAATCATAGCGGCGAGTTTGGAAGTAGGATTCCGTGATCATCGCCTCCGTCGACAATGCGAATCCCGTCGTAGCCGAACTAAACGTGAACATGAACACGTGGCTTGGCGGGCAGAGGTTCTCCGCTACTCACCGCTGATTCCCAAAATAACGCTTAGAATGAGACCGGGAACTGTAGAACTTCTCAAGAACTATTGAAAAAGTCTATTGTTGAAACATTTTTAGGACTTTTTTAAGAAAGTACAGTGCCAACTTGACACCCGTGTAAAACCTCAACTTTTACTAAATACTATTGAATCTTGATTTACTATCAAAATTTATTCAAAAAATAAAATTGAGACTAAATTAAAATCTCGCAGAATATACGGAGTAGATAATAATTGAATTGAAAATGTAGAATATCGAAAATAAATTACGTTCAAATTGAAATATCAATAAATTAGGTGTTTGGAACAGTCAAATAATTCATTAAATCAATAAAGTAAAATAATAACACTTAAAAATCGGAAATTCTGGCCAAGCATATTTAGAAGTACTGGAAGTTGCTCA